TTGTTCTTGAGCTAAATAAAGTTTCCAACTAGTATTTTTGTTTGGTGAAGGAGAGATTTTGATTGATGGAGTTGTTAGTCCCTTGGGTTTTCTTGTGCTGTTAGAGCCGTCCAAGGAGCTCTCCGCATCTCTATCAATCTTAGCAGAGTTTATATTATGAGCGAAGATGATGTTTGTTTTGTATTTGACATGATGAATGAGATATCCAGTTACTATCTTTGTTCTTGATGGATTATATATGTTGGTTTTTTTTTTTTTTTTTGTTCTTCACATTGCTCTACAACTGATTGATTTTGATTGTTAATGTGTGAATTTTCGGTGAGATTTCTGTTAGAATATGAAAGTATATGTACAAAATTATTGTGAATACTATAAGATGATTAACTTGTGGTACGTACATTATGGTCTATCCAATAAGAATGGCTGATATTGCACAATACAGTTTTTCGCATTTTGATTTATGGAATTGAATGATAATTTTGTTGTTGTGATGGCAATGGATATATATTGGGATGTTATGTGGTGGGGATTTGATAGTCACAAATGCCAAATGCTTTAATTCTATCATTTTTGTCGGTATGCATTTAGATTGGAGTAGTATGATGATGTTTGTATTATTAGCCACTAACTAATCAGCTAACAGTCATTTACCAAACACCCCAATATAATGCAGTAGCAGCTTTGTTTTGTTACTAACAACAATTACATAGTTGGTAGGGGGAGTGTCTGTTTGTGCAAGTTGGATAGCAATGGCATTTACCAGGATCGGAGCCTTGAGTTGAGGTGGTAGACTGGTAGGTAAGATAACATGCATCAAGAGAGATACAATATTGTTTCGATTTTGTATAAATTAAGTAAATGACTCATATATTTAATTAATACTCCGTAATAATTTTAGGGTTTAGGAAGACAAGAGATGAGGAAACAGAATCATCATTTTACCATTATACTCCTAGTAAAGAAGAGGTGTGAAGGTGAAAATGGTGGCCACAAAGGGATAGACACAAGATTGTGTATAGAACAAATATAAGGATTGTACACGTCGAATTGGCCCCATTTGTTGCTGTAAATTCACATGATTTTGTCTCGTTTCTGTCGTGTTTTTCTTCTTGGGTAAAAACTCTCTCCAGTTACTTGTGTGTATATGTGTTATGTGAATTGGGCAGGCCGCAGGGCATGTCAAAAGCAAAAATTCTAGAACAGGGGGGCGGCCTTGAGAATCGAAGAATTATAGTCAGAATTATCGGCGTCGTTAATAATTAACTGCGCCATCATAGGTTGACGTTATGCTCGTAACATTGGTTCAACATCTTTTTTGTCTAATTCGTTAAGATAAGATAATGTATTTTATGAGTTAGAAGAATGTATTTAAAATAATGTATTTTGTGTTAAAATAATATATTTTATGTGTTAAAATAAAATTTTAAAAGTAAAATAATATATTTTATGAATTAGAATAAGGCCACACAAGTTCACGCAATAATGGTCCGAATAAATGGTGTTGGGCCTTGTGCCTGAGGATGAATATGATCAGCCCATGACTGGTCAAGAAGGTTTCCTTATTAGATGGGCCTCAAAGCATTGGCCGACGACTGATTGAGATGATTAGTCCATTGAGCTGAATTACTAAATACAATATTCACTTTGTACATTTATACTTGGGCAAATTATACATTGTCACCTCTACATTGAATCCTGATTCAAAATAATATTTAAATTATGAGTGTAATTAATAAATTATATATTTGTAAATAAGTTGAAGACATATAATGTCATATTATTACTTGTAGTTAACACATTATATGTCTTTAATTTATATGCAAGAACAATTTATTTAATAAACACTATTAACTGCAAATATATAATTTTTGGACCAGGATCCACCAAATAAAGTGAATCTGATCCATAGTATAACAATAATTATACTTCTATAATTACTTTATTTCGTTACTTCTTTCATTTTTATATTTATTTTTGGTGTTAATTAGAACTAAAATAAAAAATAAAAATATCTAGTGCCATCCAGCCCAGTCTCAACTAATAGGTACCTTGCTCAGCACCGCTGTGTGCTCTGAGACAAGTAATTAAATTGTTACTTTGAAAAATGGGGTCCCCACAACATGCAGAAATCTGAAAAGTGCAATACATATATTGGACATTAGGAATTATTATTATGTTGTTGGCCCAACATTGAATTGATTTATTTAGTTGCAACATTTACGTGAAGTTGCAGCATTTACAGCACTCAGCTGCATATGTAGTATCCTCACCAAACCTCCATTAATTCTGATGTGTTGTACTTCGTACGACAATACCTCAATGGCTCAATTCATCCAGCTGGCCAGTTACATTGGAGCACCTAGTATACGCTTTAAATGACTTTAAATTTCATGACTTGTCTTTGAGAGAATGAGAGCCCAGGCCAATCACTTCAAACTATAAAATATAGCCAAAGACCTATCTTGTGGTCTAGTGGCACTAAGTTGTTTCTCCATATGAGAAAGTTTGTGAATTCAAACTTTAATGGATATTGTATTAACTTTTTGTACTTCAGTAAGTTGAAAAAATAGTTATAAACAAATATTTCATTATAATAGAATTAGTAGTACTCAAAAAAAATAAAAATAAAAATAAAAATGCCCGCATTTACCCTCTTGAGAGGTTCTAACCTAAGTAGTTTAGCCAGAGATATGGATGACTCACTCGCCCGCCCAACGATTAGGACCTGTGGATTCCATGGACCATGATAGCACCATCACAATTACTAGTAATAAATTAAATGCCACATAACCCTAGGCACGTGTAACAATATCATTACCCATCTTTGCACTATTGTCTTGAAGCAGTTAGGTATAAATATGATTTTTGTAAGCAAGAAAATGGGAACAATAATGAATATTCAATATTTTTAGCTTAAAACAATCTAGAGCCACTCACTTTCTTTCTGATTCAGCTCAAAAAGTCAATATTTCATTCGATCCTATGATCTTCTCTCATGAGGAATCACAGAAGTGATATCTGAACACAAGGTGTTTGGTTCCAATTCAATTGTTATTGCTCGACAATCATAAATGACTCAGGCGATTGTATGTTGAGAACATCGGAATATTTACACCAACTGTCAACAAATATATACACAAGAGAGGCATGGTTACAATGAAATCGTTTCCAAAGCATAAGACAAAAATATTATAATTTAAATATCATATACTAATTTGAATATTATATTTTACAAACATTATATTGTATTTTATAATAATATTAATTAATCTTCAAACTGGCTACATAGTACAGATTACATTGAGAAACCTGTAAAATAATTACGTATTTCACTATTACACGTAAATGTATTGTACTTTATAATAATATTAATTAATCTTCAAACTGGCTACATAGTACACATTACATTGAAAAGTCTGTAAAACAATTACGTATTTCACTATTACACATAAATATATGTACCCGTTGGGACAAATTTTCTGGCAATAATGTTGTACAATATGAATAGCATTAATGAGATGAGTTTTGGTAGTAGCTGTATATCATAAAGACAATATTAATTAATACCGTACCATCAAATCAATGCCAGTCCTAGCTGCTGCTGTTGTTTATTTTATTTTATTTTATAAATAAATAATGTTTCTCAAGTTTGTCAAAATATATTCTTATAAATCCGTCTCAAGTCTATGAAGGAAGTAAATTTTGAGTTATCAAATTAATTTTAAGTTCCTCATCACTTGTACATTCTTAATAAGCACAATAAGTCTTAATCATTACTTGTTGGTCAAAATTTGCAGTGACTTCTCACTTTTCAAGTTTCCAATAATGGAGTTTAAACTCGACTTGATGCTAGATTAAATTATGTTGCTTTTATTATTTGCACTGTGTTTGACTTAGTTCAGTATTTGATGGTGTGATTTTACATGGGAGGGATAGAACATATATTATATTTATGGATGAAGGGCTAAGGGTTACCTTTTATTATTATTATTATTATTATATATATATATATATATATATATATATATATATATATATATAAGTTAGTATTACAATATAAGGAAAAAGAGTACAAACAGGTTATTGAACTATTAATGAAATAGCAATTAAGCCGATAAATTCAAAGAAGCTCTAAATTAATCCACGAACTCAAAAAAATTACAATTAACATTTTTAGCAGGTTACTATCTGGTTTCTGCAAATTTGGATTGCCACGTGCAATCATGTTTTAAAAAAAAAGGTACAAATAGACTATCAAACTATTTAGAGAACAGCAATTAAACCACTGTAACTCGAAAAATCTCTAAATTATTGCAATAACTTGGAAAAAGTTATAATTAAAATTTCAAAAATTGTGTACATTATTATTAAACAAAAAAAATAATTTGTAAAAATTTCTCTATATTATTGAAATATGATAATTAAAATTTATCACATTCAATTGTGAAATATAATGTGGATTAATTTTTTACTAATATTTTAATATTAGATATGAATTTTTGGGCATTGCTAGAATAAGTCCAACTATTGCTTAATATTGTCTTATCTTATTATATAATATAATACGGAGTACTTTTGGATGCATGGAAAAGTATTGCATTTTAGAGAAAATGACTTTTTTTTTTTTAGTTTTCAATTGTATCATAATGGTAAACAAAATCCTTTAATTATAAGGTTGATCATTAAGAATTGTTGACTACTTTTCCGGATAATTTTGGTTGGAGGTACTAAATTGATAATTTGAAGGTGATGAAAAGTTTTTTCGCCTTTATGCTACCGGCAAATTAGAATCTATTAAGAAGTGCTTTGTTAGGGTCTCGAAGCTCTGTCGTCTCCAGGACACGCTCCACCACCTCAACCACGGTTGGGCGTGGTCCCTCTGTGCCGTGCCGCGGAAGGCCAGGTGAGTTTGGCGACCTGCATGCATATATGCATGTGCTTGGCTTTTATTTATAGTACAACATATATGTATAGATCAAATTAAACGACAATCAATCATATCATATCAAAGCAAGCGTGCAAAATAATTAAGAACAGGAATAGGAATAGGAATAGAAGAACGGAACAGAAGATGAGATGAGATAGATGATCGAAGACGGCGGGTTTTTTAGGTAATTAAATAAGGTAGAGCCACGCGCAAGCTAGGATAGGGATCGGAGCAGGGGAGTAAATTATAGCTTGAGGACTTCAGGAATATGAACTGGATATTGATGAATACAATCAGCCCATGGACTATCCGCTACTGGTGCCTTAATGCTCCTGTTACACTTCCAAACTGCACTGTTACATTTGAATCCACTCCCGAACGCAATTTGCCACACCCTATCCCCTTTCTTCATTCTCCCCTTAGCCTCAATGTAACTCATCTCGTACCATAAAGACGACGACGACGTGTTCCCAAACCGGTGTAACGTCATTCGAGACGCCTCTACGTGCTCAGCCGAGAGGTCTAGACTTTTCTGCAGTTCGTCTATCACAGCCCGCCCACCAGCGTGGATGCAGAAGTGATCGAACGCTCGTTTGAAGTTGGGGACGTAGGGTTTGATGAATCCAGATTTTGATTTGGAGATCTTGCGAGCAATGAGTGCTAGAACAAACTTGATTTGCTCGGATACTGGTAGAACAAGAGGACCTATGGTTGTTATGTTTGACTTCAATGCATCACCCGCCACTTGCATAAGGTTTATGCACAAATTTATTCCCACGAACCCTTCTTCATCCTCCTGCTGGAATACGCATTTGTAGGAATCATCATTGTTCCCCATGTGCGTCCTAACAACGTGGAGGAGCCTGTACTTGGCTCGCCGCCGATCTGACCTCCTGTTCGACAACAGAATCGCAGCGCCTCCCATTCTAAATAGGCAATTTGGAAGAAGCATTGATCTCTCTTTCCCCATGTAAGAATTTGGAGTGAGAATCTCGGTGCTAACTACGACGGCATTGGAGTTAGGGTAGGATTGAAGCAAGTCCCGAGCTAAATCTATGGATATCAGCCCCGCACTGCACCCCATCCCAGAGAGATTAAAGCTCTTGACGTTACTCCTCAGCCTGTATTTGTTAACCACCATGGCAGAAAGGGAGGGAGTGGGGGAGAACAAGCTGCAATTCACCACAAGAATGTCGATGTCTTTAGGGTTGAGCTGAGTCTTAGCTAAAAGTTGGTCCATGGCGGAGAAGATGACGAGCTCGGCTTCTTCCCTGGCAAGCTCCATGGTGGAAATAGGAGGGATGCCATGTAAAGTGACAGGGAGACAGGTCTCCTCCCCAAGACCAGAGCGCTCCAGGATTTTCATCTGAAAACGGATGTTCTTAGGCTGTGTGGGCATCAAAATACGTGCGTGTTCCAATGCCCTAGAGAAAGGGACACGACACATGGAAGGGGGCTTGAAACAAGCATAGTCGACGAGATAGATGGTTCGAGGTCGGTAGAAAGAGGATACTACGTAGATGATCAGTAGTAGAAAAGTAGCTGCAGGGAATAGGAGTTGGATTGGAGTGCCGCCGCCGCCGCCGCCGCCGCATTGCTTTAGGAGGTCGGAGGGGCGAAGATGAATTAGGATAGGAAGCAACTTGGGTACAAGGATGAAGACAACGATGTAGCTCACAACACAATGGTACACTGTTTTCACTACATACCTTAGCTTTGACGACTTCGCTGGAGGAACCATGTTAATTTGGAGATATCGGAGTGTACTGTTGTATTATTATTAGGAGCTGATGAGTGTAGATCGAGTGTAGCAGTGCATTGTGGTTTTATAGTAGGGTGGTAGATAGTAATAATAATGAATAATGAATGGTGGCAGATGGGAGGGATTTAATGATCCAAATGTGAAATATGAATATAATTGAAGATCAGCCCTGGCTATCACATGTCAAGATGTATGGAAGGATTTTGCATGGTGCTCTAGATATCCATCCATAAATAACACATACACACATAGTGTGAGTTGAGTATAATAATTTATTTAATTAATTAATCATATCCTAATATGCATATATATATGATGGCATGAAACATAATACTGTATAATTGTATATGCACTCTACACGAATTTGATTTTTTTAATATATTAAAATATTTCTATCATTTTGATCGAACTTGTTACGTATAGTCTTCTTTATGCGGTTCAATTCTTGATAGGGATATACCCCTCGTAAAGCTCGTCATACGGTCGGGACCGGTCGCCAGCTGGCTCCAAACCACTATGGCCCCAAACCGACCGGCCCAACCGCCTGGACGGCTTCTCGATCGGCTCCCCCGAGCTGACTAGGCTGGGGATCCGACCCCTGGAGTTAGCCGGTCGACCTATACAGCCCGACCTTGCGAGTTCAATCCCGACCTGCGTGTCCTTTAACCCTCGCCCTGGTGACTACAGAGAGGTCGCGCCGCGTGTCGCGACGTCCCACGGCCTCGACGGTGGCCGGTGCATGCTCGCCATGTACTGTCCATGCCGGAGATCCGAGATGTGTCCCCTCCTTCCCTTATAATATATAACATTCATAATAATAATAATAATAATAATAATAATAATAATAATAATAATAATAATAATAATAATTATTATTATTATTATTATTATTATTATTATTATTATTATTATTATTTTGTATAGGGATATTTAAGTTTTTAAAACTTATTCCATTTCTATTCCTTTAACTAATCAAACATTGGAATACAATTATTATATTCCTAAAGTATATTCCTTCAACAATCAACCAATAGAATACAATTCATGTTCCATTCCTTACTTATTTCATTCTCTGTGAATTCATATTCCTTCCAAATTCATTCCGTGAACCTAACTGCTGTAATAGTGACAAAGTTTTTTTCTTCATCCCAAAAAAAATTATATAGTTCTATATCGGTAGTTTCATAGTGTAGACAAAATAAGGAAGATTTTGGAGATGGGACCAAAAAAAAAAGGAAAAATTACAATGCACTTATCGTTTTGAATAAATAATTAAAATTTTCTCTCTCTTCACAAAACACAATATAGTATACATCTTGTATATATACATTATATTATTGGTAAAATTATTAAAGTATATTATATATATTGTAATATTCTGTTAAGTATATTGTAATATTAAATATTATGAAAAAGTAATATTGTTTTTTATATTTACAAACTGCAATAGAACTTAATAATAAAGATGATGAATAATGAATGTGTCAAATTAAATTATAGATTATTGAAAATCTCTTTGTAAACCGCATTATTTGTGGAATTACTATTCTAATTAACCATTTTCATCACAAACTACAATCTTCAAGCCCTTTGGATTTGTTACTCTGGATGCCGCAACATACAATTGACCATTCTCAAAGGCTTCTTCAACAACAGGCCTACATGGGTCAAAGTTTGCCCTTGATTTTTGTTGATTGTCATTGCGTATACAACATAACTGGGATTTGTTTGGAATTTGAATGGCAATCTCGAGTCTGAAGGCGTCATTGACATTCTTGCTATCAACACCTTTGTACCTACATGAGTACCCGTCATAATCTTTGCTTCAACCACATGCTCAGCTAGTCTGCTCACAACAAACCTAGTACCATTGCAAAGACCCATTGTGTGATCTATGTTTCTTAGTGTTAAGCAACACGAGTCAACACTCAAGAGCAAACCTAGTACCATTGCAAAGACCCATTGTGTGATCTATGTTTCTTAGTGTTAAGCAACACGAGTCAACACTCAAGTCAACAAGCTGATTCCCAATCAACCTCCATAACTAACTCTGTTAATTCTGTTAATACTGTTAGCTTTTGTAGAATAGTTTAAAAGCTTTTCTTTCCCTCTACTTTGTAGAATTGCAGAGAATACATTCTGTGTAGAGAGAGAGAGAGATGAGAGGTTGAATCTAAAACACATCAATCAAGTTTCTCAGTTTCCTTCTCCCCTTTTCTTGAAACTGCTTCTCCCTTCTCGACATGGTATCAGAGCAATAATGGCTTGGAGACCACCAATTGCGAATATGGTTATGCAGGCAAGTTCAAATCAAGCAGAAGGGAATCAGAACTAAGCTGGTTCATCTGGTGCGAATCAGAATCGCTCAAATCCAATTCTAGACCCAGCTTCGACTCCAATCGGAAGTTTCGATCCAAACGACTAGACGAACCCTCTCCACATTCATCCGAACGAAAGCCCAACCCTACAGCTTGTGACAGTGCAGCTGGAAGGAAGGTCTAATTACCATTCTTGGGCTCGAGCTATGGAAATGGCCTTGATGTCCAAGAACAAGATGAGCTTTGTAAGAGGACATGTGACTGTTCCGAGCAAACTAGATCCAAGATATTACTACTGGGAGCGCTGCAATACGATGGTCCTGTCCTGGATCCTTAGGGCTGTTTCTTCCACCATAGCTCGAAGTGTTCTGTGGATCAATACGGCTGAGGGAGTGTGGAAAGACTTGAAGAAACGCTTCAGTCAGCAAGACATATTCAGAATTGCTGAAATCCAGTCACAAATTTACCAAACGAAGCAAGGTAACTCTACCATAAATGAGTATTTTACACAATTGAAATTACTATGGGATGAACTTCTTGTTCTTAGACCCATTCCTGGATGTGAATGTCCTACTGGTTGTGAATGTGGGAATAAATTGTCTGAAAAGGTGAAGACACACTTAGAGAATGATATGCTATCTGCCTTCTTAACTGGCTTGAATGATAGTTATATCAACACCAAACATCAGATCATGTTGATGAAACCCCTCCCAGATGTTGGTGAAGCCTTTTCCATGATTTCACAACAAGAGAGGCAAGTATGCATTGAATCTAGTTCTCTGGGAGATGGCATTACAGGGGCAAATGTTTTCTTTACAAAGGCAGATGATGGCAGCAAAAGAACCTTTTCTAACCAGAAACAGAAGCCTGTATGTAGTTATTGTGGTTATACAGGGCATACTGTGGAGAAATGCTACAAGAAACATGGCTATCCTCCAGGTTGGAAGCCAAGAAGCAAAGGGTGGGGGTCCTCTAACCAAGTCCAGAGTTCTGTGCAAGACACTGGAAGTCCTAAGACCAATTCATCTTTCACCCAAGAGGACTGCAGAAAGTTTTTGGAGTTCATGCAACAACAAGGGAGAGTCAGAGTTAATACTCCTCTTGATCCCACCCCACATGCCAATACTATAGCAGCCAACTTCATCCCCAATGCTCAACATGAAGGTAACACAGCTAATGCTCATACCAAATTGGCTAAGCCTGAATCAGTGTGGATAATTGATAGTGGTGCTACACACCACATTATTTGTAACATCCATTTACTCCACACATCCAAGAAAGTACAAGGAGTCTATGTAGATCTACCAGATGGACATCAGGCAGAGGTCTCACACATTGGGACTGTCCATCTATCTACTGATTTAATTTTGCAGAATGTATTATGTGTCCCCATCTTCCATTATAATTTGATCTCCTTGGGTGACCTTATGAAGGGGTCTAAGTGCAACACAATCTTCCAAACTAATCAATGTGTTATACAGGATCAACATGGGAAGATGATTGGTATGGCTAAGCTGGAGAAGGGCCTCTATCACCTTGTTTTCCCTATTCTTACTCAGAGTAAACCTGCTGTTAGTCCTATAGTAAATGCTTGTAACTTCTGGCATGCTAGACTAGGACATGCCTCTGAAGGGAAAATAAGTGTCCTACACACTATAGATAGTGCAATATGTAATGATAAACCCACAGTTTGTGAAAGTTGCCATTTGGCTAAGCAAAGAAGATTATCTTTTCAACCTAGTTGTTCAATTTCAAATAACTGTTTTGATATGATTCATGTTGACATATGGGGGCCATATCATGTTCCAACTATATATGGTCATCAATATTTTCTAACCTTAGTAGATGATCACAGCAGAGTCACTTGGGTTTATCTCATGAAGAAGAAAAGTGAAGTAAGGCAGATTATGCAATATTTCTGTGAACTTGTTTATACTCAGTTTGGGATGAACATCAAGTGTGTGAGGTTTGATAATGGGAAAGAGTTCATAATGGAAGAATTCTATCATAAGAAGGGAATTATTCACCAAACATCATGTGTTTATACCCCCCAGCAGAACAGCATTGTAGAGAGAAAGCATGGCCACATCTTATCAGTGGCAAGAGCTTTGAGGTTTCAAGCTAGTCTACCTGAGGAGTTCTGGGGTGACTGCATTGTTCATGCAGTATATCTGATAAATAGACTCCCCTCTGCAGCCTTATGTAATCAAATCCCATACCAGATAATGTTTAAAAGGATTCCACAGTATCAACACCTTAGGGTGTTTGGGTGCCTGGCATTTGCTGCCATTCCAAACTGTCAAAGGGACAAGTTCTCTCCAAGGGCTAGAAGAAGCATTTTCCTCGGATTTGCTACTGGTGTGAAAGGCTACAAACTAATGGACATTCAGACTAAAGAAGTTTTCTTGTCTAGAGATGTTTCATTCTATGAAAACATCTTTCCCTTTCAAAGTTCCCAGGTGCAGCAGCCCTCTAGCCTAATCCTACCTTCTGAAGATGTGTCATATCCTTACTCTGATGAAGGCACCACTTTGCCCACTGTTGTAGAGGTTCCACCTATCCTATGTGATTTTCCTGAGGTGCCACCAGCTGTTCCAGCGCAGGACAGTGAACCTAGCAATGCAGCTTCAACACCTATAGCAATGCAGCTTCAACACCTATCCCAGAACCAAGGAGATCAACAAGAGTAAGAACCACTCCTTCTTATCTCAC